CTATGTGTTCTCTGGTTAGCAGAGCTTGCAAATGAGAGTTGAGCGTTTTTTCGTTTATTCTCTTCCTCGCATCATAACCAAAAAAATTGTGCAGACACGTCTCGCTCTCAGCGTCAGTCTCTGTTTTCTTTAGCATCTGTTTCGCTCAGACGCAATGCAATGAATCATTCGTGTGACGCTCTCACATGAGTGTCGCGTAAAACTAACACGATTTTCCCTCACACAAAGACTCTTAGACCACCCTCAAGACCTATTGGATCGGGTCTTGACCTAACACCTCCAGAATTGACAAAAATATAGCATATAATATTAATAATAATATGCTTTTAAGTAAATAAATTTTTGTAAATATCTATTTAGATTAAGTTACCAATTAGGTAGCAGTGCGCTAAACTGTAAAAAAAAAAAAAAAAAAAAAAAAAAAGTTGCTATTTGAGAGACCATAGAGAGAGATAGAGATAGAGAGTAGGACAAATAGCGCATAGCTGTGCTTCATATAAGAAGGGCACCATTTCGTTTGAGTGATTGCAGCACACTGCTTGATATATATATTCACTGCTTGAGCCTCAAGAGACTGAGCCGAGCAAATACGAAGTTGTGTAGTCTCCTCAGCGCATTTTTTCGGTGTTGAAAAAGTTTGTTCTACATGTCTAGTCTATGTGTTCTCTGGTAAGTGCCTCTATCGATGGTTTTGCAGCCCTACTGTTCTTTGGTCAGTGGTGCTATGAGATTAGATACATATGTATATCGACAGTAATTCAAATTATCGCGTTCAAACAAGCTTATCGCTTAACTCTCATCTTTACTATTTATTATAGTTTTATAAAAGTTTGGCATGATGAGTTTCCTCGAATGGAAAAATGTTGAAATTTTTGATTTAGTTGCATTGTCATCCATACAATTAAATGTTCAAAACACGGAAATTACAGCACAATGCTGCAATCTAATTAAATCTGAAAATGGAAAACCAAACATCAAATTTGTATTGTGTTCCAAAAGTGGAATGGTTTATGTTTTTATGGAAAATGGAGTTAAATCCCGGCAGATAAGTTTAAAATGCCCTGACGGCCATCAACCGATCAAATTATGCTGTATAACAACCACCAATATACTTGCTGTACTTTCGCAAAATGATAATTACGCTATATGCATTTGTATATATGATTTAAACCAGACGAAAAAGGAGGAACATCCACTATGTTTATCAACCATAAATTTGTTAGCTACAAGTATTGCAACCGTTTTCGAGATATCTTTCATTGGCATCGAAAAATTATTTGCTTTAGGTGTCGGTTTTGAAAAAGGTGATATACTGCTATATTTTGGGAGTATCAATCGGGATCTGTCCTTGAATATGCGCAGGCACACTATTGCCTCAAGCCCGATAAATGGAATTCAATTTTCAATTTGTGATCAACAAAATGAAATGAAAGCTTGCAATGTGTTTGTTACAAGTGTGGATGTAATATATTGTATACAATTAAATGATAAAAATATAATCGATTCCAAAATGGTTCTTGACAGCAATCACAATATGGCTAATCAGTGTTGCACTTTATCTCAACCAGCTGTTTCAGATTCATTTCTAGTTGTTGGTCGTGATGACGCCATCTACTGTTTTAGACGCGATTGTCGGGGACCATGTTATGCATTTGAAGGACATAAGCAATTTCTTTCATGGATTGACAATTATCTTCTTGTTGTAGTTAAAACTAATTTTGGATCAGCCATTACAGTCGTTGATATTGATAACAAGTTAATTTTATTACACAAGCGAATATCCACTGTGATTGACTGTGTAAGTTCCAATAAGCTCTACTATTTTATCACCAAAGATGACAATTCAAAGAATGTATGTAAATTTAATGTCCATGAGTTAAAAGAGTATCCGACAAATATTAAAGTTAAAACTCTTATTGCAAAGTGTATGCATAATAACGCACTAATGATGTTGAAAAAAGACGAAAGTCAGTATCAATATGATAATGCCATATTACGTTTAAAATACGGTAATAATTTATTACTCAAAGGTTTCTATGCTAGAGCAGTTACTGAGTATGCTCAAACCATCGGTATTTTGAAACCTTACCAAATTATTTCAAAACTATTAAGTTCAAGACACAATGATAACTTAATACAGTATGTAAAAAAATTATTAGAAAGTAAAATCACTACATTTGATCATCAAAAATTACTCGACATTTGCTCTGATCGGCAAAGGCTACGTTCAAGGATTGGAGAATTATGGATTATTAGAAATGATACTACCCACATTATTGATTTTAAACAGATTTCAAATAGAAGTATCAATTTATCAGATGTTAATCATACAGTGAATAATTTTCAAGGAGTCGACTTTCATAATGCTGACGAAGAAGATATTTTTAATTTTTTCCTTGAGTATGGACGTGAAGTTTTATCGGTTGATTCCACTATTGTTTTAAATACTTTGAAATCTTTGGTAAAAAGCCATAAAATAAAAAACATACTTCGTTTTTTAATGATATTTCCAGATTATTCAGAACTTAACGTAAATTTATTATCGTACTATATAGAAAACTATTCACCTGGCGATGAAAAATTACTCTATTATTTATTTAGCCTACATTTGGGTTTATGGCAAGAAAATAAAATCTCAGCTGAGGATATAACTAATTTAGTAAAAAAAATGCCAATTAGATTTGAGAAGATATTAACACTTTCAAAGACCTATTTATTTGCCATTGGAATTGAAAATTGTAAAACTAGTGAGGAATCTGAAAATATTTCTGAAGATGATAAAAGCTTTCTTCGATGCTTAGATCAACACATAAAGAAGAACCCGAATCTTGCATCATTGTTGACAATCGGTCCACGGTCATTGCTCACGATATTACAAAAAGTGTGTGCTGGATCCGATATAAAAATAAAAGATTGTAAGCCGTTTTTAAGTGAAAAATTCATGAAAAACATAATGGATGCAAAATGTGAGCTTGGCTCCATTGGAGATCTTAACTGCGAAATAGCAATCCATAACTCATTGGAATCACATTATAAATTGAATCCAATAGAATTTCGTAACAAGTATTGCGATGTCTGCCGGCAATCTTTACATATGCCATCGATTTATTACCTTTGTCAGCATTCATTCCATAAAGATTGTGTACGCACTAATTATGACACAAAAATCTACGATGATGTCGGATGTGGGTTGTGTGGTACCGTCTTAGAATACCCTAAATTAGATGATGAACAACTTGATTTAATCACTAAGTCCTGTGATATAATGAAGGGGGTTTCAAGTATTTTCGCAACTGGAATTCATAGCTTATAAACATAGAATGAGTGTTATGAAAAAGAAGCTTGTGTCTCCCATAATAAAACATCGGAAATCCATTTGATGAAAATTATGATTCTGACTACAATTGTTTTTAAATTTCAAAGATTTATTTATGTACACAATGTATTAAATAGTATAATTAAATATGAAATAAAGCTGAATTTTAAAAGCCCCAATCAATTTATGAGTTTATATTTATTTTATTAAAGATATTGAAAAACTTGTCAACTAAAACTATAATTAAATAGCCTACAAAAAGTACAGAAAACAAGTATTTCAATAATTATTTGAACATGCACACACACATACGCATGCACGCATAAACACGCATTGGCTGCGGTGATGGCTTACAATGGGGACTTAATTGTTTAATAACTTTTCTTGTGGGTGGACTATCTTCATGAAACTTTCAGATTATGAATATAATATAGACGTGCTTGCACAAAAAAAAGAAAAAGCACAAGTGTCTAGTATTTGAAACACGCCTTTTACAAAGGTGTGGGTGAGGGGGTGGATATAGAGGCGGGGATTAAATTACAACAAAAATCGAAATTATATAAAATACCTATAAGTCTACATTTAAAGCTTGGACTGTAGCTCGAAAGCAGGGTGACCGCGCCGGACCAAACGAAAAATACCAATTTGGTCTCAAAAATATACTATAAAATACTATTTCATATTTTACAAAATACCATTATAAATACCATAACAAATAAATCGTCTTGAAATTCAAATTATAATAAAATAATAACTGACTTATTATATATAGAAAAAATAAGGGTTTTCCCATTGCAAAAAATGTTTGTTGTTTATTTCATTTTAAAAAATTAATAATATTTCAGTCCAACATAAAACTAGAACAATATGCATTCGTATTCAATTCCATATTCCAATATATATTTAAAGTCTTAATTAATTAATTAAATGCTTAAAATTCATTTTGTAACATTTTCTTAAAATAAAATAGTAAAGGAACTTCTTTGTTCAGTCTTGCTAGTTTCTCTTAAGATCATTTAATTATCTTTACATAACACTTGTTCACTGGGCTTAAAATTATTGCACCCATTTTCGCGCAATGATTATTGTACATGTAATATATGTGATATATTTACATTTTTAAAGCGGTTTCGATTTTTCGTTTTGATTAAATTAATTTGAGAGAATATGCGTTCACACGACGGATTAGAAACGGGCTAAATTATTAAATCTTTGTTTTTGTGTAGCCGCATGCTGCTTAAGTGACGCCAGCCTACTCAAAATGTTAGTCTGGCACGCTTTGCAGTGCGCATCCATATTATTAGCGCTCCTTCCCAGCCATTTTTCATTTTCCGGCATAGTCTCCCACTCAGCTCTATATTTTTGCTTATTGCTCATGTTTTCTATTTATTTGTTTTAAAATTAAGCAAGTTTTAAGCATTAAGCATTCGATTCATTAAGACTTAAAGAGTGACCAAACCGAAAATACCATATAATACCATAAAATCGAAGAAAAATGCTACTAAATACCTATATACCATTAAAATACTTTTGAGCAAAATCGGAGCTGATAAAATACCAAAAAGTATTTAAAATACCATATTCGGTCACCCTGCTCGAAAGGTGTTGGAGATAGTGCTGTAAAACTATCGATTGAACCATCGATATATCGAATGTTTATATTTCTGCGTTCATATCGATTGTTTTTTATACTATCGATAGAGATGATAAGAAATAAAGATGGTAAGAAATACATTTATAAGAAGCAATTAAGTATAAAAATAAGTATATATTTGTAGGTAAATCGTTGGTGTTGGTGGCTGGACAGATTATCACGGAACGACGAGCTGCCTTAAAAGCTAAGCATGTGGACATGCTTGTCTTTCTTAATCATAACTCTTGGATCTTGGCAGAAGAATAAAAGCCATGCATTTAATTTTAATTTTATCTAAACTTTTTTTTTTTGTTATTGTCCATGAAGGATCTCATTATTGTTCATTAAAATTTTTATTTTTATTTTTAAATATGCATTTATTTAGTTTGTTTTTGAACTTTAAAATATTTTCGATAGTACTATCGATGCTATTGAATAATTGTTGTAAAACCATCGAGACTATTGAATGTTGCAACCATCGATAGTTTTACAGCTCTAATATACAGGCCTCTCCTACTATCCCACTCGTTCACCGCACAACACTAGCTACGTTTCACTCACAAACACTTCTCTTGCGCACGGCTACGTGAACTTACTCCGATGTGCAGGCGTCACTTAAGCCGCTGATATGCACCGATGTCCTGATCGGTGCCGCTGATGATCCGCAAGGATTCCCTCTGGATGTCCTTGCTGTTCCCACGATGTCTTTGCTGTTCCCACGATGTCCTGGGAGTCCTGATTTACCACTCGCGTTGACTTTCACTTGACTTTGGCACTTTCTACACGCACTTCGACTTTCACTTTATATCTTCTCTTCACTATAGTTTCGACCGCCTCGTATGGAGCTACTGGTGGCCTTTTATACCCCAGCCACAGGCCCTGCTTCGTGTGGTAATGGGGCCTGTTCGGCTCTGGAGCGGGGCCTTTCTGTTGCTCGTGCCCATAAAAACGGTAAAGTGGCGTGATCTGGGTGACGCCACTTTCCCGCCAAATTGCGTGGCAGTCTCCCATAGGCCGAACTACCGTTGTTGCCATGCGAGTGAAAATGTTCACTGCTGTCACCCGGCCCGAACGGCACCTCGGCTAACGGTCGCCGATGATCGTCGTGCGTGCGACGCGAACCCATTGCTGAATCTGTAGGACCGAAAGCGACCGCCTCTAACAGGACTTTGACCCCCTTTCCAGTGCGAGGGTCGCTCCTACAGTATTCGCGTCGCTGTGTGTAGCAACATGTATATGCACGTATATGCATATAAACGCACAGCAAATACGTACGTTCATATACATAAATACGTGCATACCTATATTGCTCCTCACAAGCTAGAGACTTGAAATTTTGAACACATACTCGTGTATATCTCAGATTTATAACGTGTTAAAAATGTTTCGATCAGCCCACTAGGGGCGTGGCAAATCGGAAAGTGCATTTTCCGATATACCAAAAATCATGTTAGTTGAAGAGCTAGAAAGCTGAAATTTGGAATGTAGATCCGCATCGACCACCCAAGATTACGGGCTATGGCTAATATATTTATGCATATTGGGGGCGTGGCAAATCGGATAAAACTGTATTTCCTAGAGTTTTAAAGCTAAAACGCTAAAAATGTCTATAAACATTTATTATTAATTAAGTATATTAATTAAAAGTATATGTCTACGCCCATTAGGACCTAATAAATCGGACCTGAAGATATAGTGATTTTTTTTAAATTCTTCTATATTTTGGACACTATTAATGGTAGAGACAAATTTTGTATATATACTCGGGCTGACCAGCCAAGACCAAAAAGCTTCCACGGATATTTGTCCGCCCTCAGGGGGACGCAAAAGTTTATATCTCCTAATGTATAACAGCTGGAAATTTGGATAATGAAGTTACTAGTAACCTCCTCTATCGATAGCCCTAAAATAATTTTTACGCCTCTTTAGGGGCGTGGGATAACGAAACTTTGACATTTACTTGTAACTTTGACATTTTTGGAGCGTAAGCATTCAAATTTTGCAGTTAGGATATTGTTAGCTCTTTCAAAAAACTGACCAAAATGATGATGAAAATTGTGTCTACGCCCAGTAGGGGCGTGGCAAATCGGAAGAAAACGAATTTTCTACAGTATTAGAGCGAAACTGAACTACTAAATTGTTGATGGGATGTGAATGAGTATTCCGCAGTCGGTAACGCCCGACTGCAACGTTCTTACTTGTTTTATATTGGCTTTCAATATTCGTATTTCGTTAGAACATAAATTTCTGTATTACATACATCAAATCATTTGCATACCTTCTTTTTAATTACCTTATAAGCTTTATGAGTAAATTTTTACGTTTTGTCTACAAAAAATCTCAAAGTTTGATAATATTGCTCAAAATAAGATCAATTGAATTAAGTATAAAATTATACATACATATATATAAAATTATAAATACATAAAATTAATATAAAGCCAATTTTTTTTTAAAATCCAGAATTCCCGCTCCCTGTTGTTTTGGAATTTTTCGCACAATTGGATTTCAACCAAGTAAGAAAACTCTAGTCAAGACTGTTCGACTACGAAATCCCCTGACCCCTTGGAGCAATAGCTACTTCAATCATTTTTCGCGTCTATCGGCTTACACAAGACACACGCACACACACAAAGACACACACACACACACACGCATACACACACAGGCATACAGACACACATACACACACACACACACATATATACGCACACAAGCACCCACGCCTAAGTACATATGAGCTGCAGTGTGCGCTTACTATGAGAACTTAAATGTTTAATAACTTTTTTTGTGGAACTACGATCTTCAGTTGATATTTGCAAATATCTAGATGTTCCTGTGCAAGGTTTCGATCCGTGGTTCGCTGTGTTTCTATTATGTCCTGAACCCATTGAAAATGTGGAAATCAGGGTATAATGGTTTTGTTAAAAGTATGTAACGGCGTGGCAGACCCCATAAAGTATATATATTCTTGATCAGGGCGACGAGCTGAGTCGATTTGGCCTTGTCCGTCTGACTGTCCGTCCGTCCGTATGTATGAACGTGTCGATCTCAGAAGATATAAGAGCTGGAGACTTCAAATTTTTTGTCTAGGTCCGTTGTATATCGGGAAAACACGAGACCACCCGCCTCAGCTCCGCTGCTCCGTTTTGCGTCGCTCCATCCCGCGTCGCTCCATTTTGCGCTGATAGCCGCTGTTAACGACATCAGCTGCTCTTTTAGTTACCGTTGGCAATGCTGTATGCTGCCGGTAAGTGAATGGAGTGTAAAATTCTTAAATTTTCATAAATTTTTAACGATTTCTTCTTTTTCCAGTCCGGGCAGCTTCCTTCTTGTTGACCCTCGACCTGATGTCCTGCCGCTGCCAATGCCCACGCCGGGAGCTTTTGCCACCCCCGGTGGCATTGGCGCATGTGCGCACGGCAATTGCCATTTCGGCCACTGGAGACGTCTCCCTGCTGGTTTTACTTGCTCCTTCAACTCTCGAGGATGCTCTGGTGGGGCTCTGCAGTCATTTCATGTACTGCTGCTAGGAGATCGGGCCACACACGTCGTTCGCGAGTAGGCACCGGTGTCGAAACTCTTTCGTGCACAGCATCCCTCTGCACAGCCAGCAAAGTCGCTGGTCAGTGCGCGAGGACCGGTTGCCAAGCTGTTCCGACGCCCCAAAGATCCGTAGCCGGTGGAGCTAGTCGCGTGGCAGGCGTCTGCAACCACACTCTCCCAGCAGCCACATGCCCGACTGTATGCCCCGCGTACATAATCGAACTCGTGCGGCGGCCACCTGCTTCACCAACTCCCTCGTCGTCCTCTCCGCTGCTGATGAAGGCGTTCCATGGTAGCAGCTACCCTCCTGGTTGCTGCTGCATCTCCGTTGCGGCACTGCAGACAAATTCTTGGATTGCTGTTGAGAGCTGGCCACGTCGATGTCGTTCGACACGGCCACCGGTGCCGGACTTGACGCCGGCGGTTCACACCTCATTCGCGCACAGCTCCAGCTAAGCCGCTAGCCAGTGCACGAGGATCGGCCAGCAAAGTGTGCCTACGCCCAAGCACGGGCAACCGGTTGAACTTGTCGCGTGGCAGGCATCGATGGTGGCCCGATCTCCCGACAAGCAACCCAAATATATGGCTGCATGCTCCTCGTCTCCACTTGGAACACTTCACGGCGTGTAGACGGCGCACTCGAGCGCCGTCGGTCCACTCTGGTAACTCATCCACAAGCAGACCGGCCCGATGCCCACATGCCTACATATACCCTCTGCTGCCGTGCCGCCGGCTGCGTAGGCGGCAGCATATAACGGGTCCTGTGTCCTCTGTTCAGCCCACTGTAGCCTTCCCTGCCTTATGGCTCAATTCCAGGCAGGCTACGGTATCGCCCTGATACCGTTTTTCACACTCTCATCGACGCATGCATATACAGCCCTTCGGTGCCCGAACATTCAAATGCAATGTCTTCTGCTGCTATACATTGTTGTTGGCCGTTTTATTTATCTCTTTGTCGCTGGCTGTTTTATATGTCGCTGTGTGTTCTGTTGTTGGCTGTTTTATATGTCTCTGTCGCTTTTGTTGTAGGCTGTTTTAGATGTCGCTCGGTTTGACATCTTGGTGCCGCTTCGTGCGCTAGCGATCGCTGAGCTGTGTGTGTGTGTGTGCAGCAAGTCTTTCGCCTGGAATGTATGCGGTTTGCTGTTGTTTTTCCGCTTTTCGCTTTTGTTAAGTGCACATGCAATGTAGGTGGGTGCTGCTTGCACATGCACAGCTTGTTATTGTATTGCATTGCGCATGCACTGGCAGCTAGGTTTTAGGTACCGAACTGTACACTGCTAGTTGTCGTGCGCGCGCAATTTAAACATTTGTTGTTGTGCAATTATACAGTTAATTTCCTGGTGGCAACGGTGGTTTTCCAGCCACAGATGCGTTTCGACGAAAAAATTATGAATTTTTGAGCAAAATTTTTGCTGTTTTTTTCTTCTTCTTTTTCTTCACTTAAATGAGAAGCAATACACTTCACTGTGTATTCACTCCCTTTTTTTTCGGGGGAAAAAAATCCGCTCTATTGCTCCCGTGTCTCCTCTCCACGGCTTGAGATCCGCCACATGCGCCATCCTGGACCGCTTGTCGGCCTCCGACCTGATCCGGCAGATGACTGTGGACACAAAACTGGGCCTCCATAACGTGGTGCCAGTTTTGCTGCAAATCCCTCTGCGGCATTAGACAAGTGGCGTTCCTTTGCCCACACCTTGTCACCTACGGCCGGCTTCCGTTGCCGCCTCCGTAGGTTATAATGCCACGCCTGATCCTGTCCACGCCTGATCCTGTCTTGTCGCTCCAGGTTTCGACGCACTTGATTCAGCCTCTG